GGTGGGGTGGGGAGGTCTGTGCCCCACCCCCTACACATCACCTATGCACAAGGAGATGCTTCTATCCCCCTACCCCAGGCATGAAAGCTTGTGAATCCCAACTGTACCTAGTAGGCATTTCATACCGCTGGAGGTATTGATTGAATATTGCTTTTATTCCCCTGACTGTTTCAGAGACAAGGAGCAGAGTTCCAGTTCAAACTAAACAACAGGACTAGTAGCAGTGGGTAACAGATCTGGAGCCTCTCTATAGACCAATCCTTAACAGCCACCCCCAAAGTTTCTGCCAACTCTAATAGCTGCCATGGGACTATTCAAACAAGATCATGCCCTGCCAAAGGGCACAACAGAGGTATGGCTACCTTGGGCTGGCCTATCAACTCCTGCATCGCTGAGAGAAAATGGAAATTTAAGCTTATGGTACCCCCAGGGATACCAGATTTGTGCCTCAAATCAAGATAGCAGGCTAGGCTTTGTCCCTAGTATTTTAGTACTTCCCTGTGGGCAGCCCCTCCCTTCCATGACAAAACACCTCCTGAGAGGAGGATATGAAGGGTTGAAGGTGAATTTCCTACCTGAACAGCCCTAAGCAGGGAAAGAATAAGGGATAAGGTGCTTGTCCCTGTATTACTGAATGGCAAGGAGTGGGTATACACACCTGCCTAGACAACACAGATCTGGCTAAGCTGTGTGATGTCAGGACCTTGTGGCAGCAACTTAAGGCAAGTGTTCAGGTTTCCAGCTCCCCCTAGATATAGAGAGGTTCAGAGCTGAGGTGTGGCTGGAAGGAGGGTGGGGATTTTCAGCACTCACCTGGGGACAAGTCCTCAGAAAATGCGTTGGGGATTTTCAAGACTCACCTGGGGACAAGTCCTCAGAAAATGCGTTTTCTTCAGCTTTCTCATCATTCCAAACCCAGAGCTCCATCTCCCCTTGCTGGATGTGGCAGATTAAGTCTGGTGTGGGACCTTGATATCCTGTGTTGGGGAGTACAGAGAAGGTGTTTACTCTACTATCCAACGCCCAATCGGGATTTGGAAAAAGTATCCAATGAACTCAAACATTTTAATGGGGAATCAAAGGAAAAGGAAAGGATGACATTCAGGATAAAAGAGAAGTGACTACAGGCAGAAACCTTCAACAGATCATGGCCTTGGCCACCAAAGCAAGTGCAACGATGTTTGTATGAAATATAAATCATCATCTCCTCCAAAAGCTCATAGTGGCAGCAAGGAAGTTAGGCAGAGATGCAGTGATATGTGATATGCAAGGAGGAAGAAAGGGAATGCTTTTACATATTTTTGAGATACTGATTTGAAAACAGAGACATTGCATATATTTATATCCATCTATTGAACTGATCTTATTTCAGTAATTCTAGGCAACCCCCCCACCCCCAGAAATGTGTTTATTCTCAATAAAGGTTTACAGTGATGAGTCTTGAAAGTGAAAGGGCAATGACAGAATAATGACAATGGGGGCTTGTATATAGGAAAGAAAGTAATTCATTTTGACACTGCATAGAAAAGCATGTTGTTATAACAACTGTAGAAGCAACTACAGCAGCTTTTTCATCCAATGGGTGGATTGTTACAGGAGGTGATCCATAGCTGCATATGTGCTTTGGATATAGACTGTTTGCATTAGGGATATGGATAAAAGAAGGAAGAAGACACACTTTTTACAGAATGAAAAGGTCTATAGTATGGCACCAGTCAATGCAGTTTCCCAGGAAAATAATTTGATAAAGTTACCTCTAGAAGAGATGGTCATTCAATAAAAATAGGTGGCATAATGAACAGAAGTAGAGATATAACCAAATTCAAAAGTGACACCTTGTGAGAGCAACAAGGTCCTACACAGTATCGTACTTGCTGTCTTTGGCCTATTCTCAAAAAGGTAAAATAAAGAAAACATCAGGGAAAGGAAGAAATGGTGGAAGTCAGTGTAAACAGAAAGCCTGGGCTTTGTAACCAAGTTGACCAATAGTCTTATAAAATAGAGAGCTTAATGCAGATTCAGTATGAGATTCAGGGAAGGTTGCTTTACCTACAGTAAACAGGGAAGTCTTTGTGAAGAAACAGAAGTAGATTTGGATCCAGTCATATATTCAGAAAAGACAAGAGCTATACAAATAGCAGTAGCAAAAGAAGCAGCACTGAAAGGCTTGTATGGAGAGCTGGACACTACAGAGGATGAAAAACAATTGATATGCTGTCTTAAATCCATAATGATTAAACAAGAGACTTGAATAATGTTGTATTCAATGCTATTTGTGATGCAAAAAAAGTATTAACATGTGATCTGAAACAAATCTTGCGTTTTGAAATTTTATTGAGAGGGAGAATGTCTCAGAGAACATTTGGAGCCATTGACACTGTGAATAAAGTTGAAATTCCAGCTGACAGTGCAGAGAAAAATTGGGAAAGTGGTAAATTAAACTGAAAGCAAGCAAGCAAAAAAGTTTAGTAGTAGGTTCATGTACTCAACCTGTGGAAGCTCCTGAAGCATTAGAAGATGAAGGGAAATCGTGGTTTTGTACTTAATGAAAGAAACAATATAAGAAAGAAGATTTTAAATGAACGAAGACTAAGTATAATATCTATTTTCTCCTTCAAACAGAAAGGGAGTAATTACCAAAGTTCAAATGACAGGAGAACAAATATGACCTAGCCAGACTTGCCAAACTGATGATCAATTATTGTCGCCAGAGTCAACAGCAACAAACAGATCAGGGATAATCACTTTGGGGCTTGAGAAAAGGAAAGAGAGTGTCACTAATCATTAAGGAAAGCCCAGAAAACAATAAACTGGCCTTCAGACGTCTGGAAAAAATAAAAGCATTTGCGCAGGTCCCCAAGGAAGATCTTTAGTAGAGGCTGAGGAAGAAGAAAGCATCAGAAAAGGAAACCAGACTACTAAAAGATACGTACATCCTCCTCCACATAAAATCAGAACAAGAACCTGTCATTAAGTGAACAGTGGTTTTCACCAGGGCTCTGCCCTTAACCAGCTCCCTTTTACTCACAGGGATGAGTGTTACCAAAGAAGATCTTAAATCATCTGCACCACAGGTCATGCGATTTTTGCAAAGAGACTTCCCAATGCAAAGAACAATTTTAGCAGAAGACAACATCATAGAATGGCAAAGCAAGCTGTGGTCCACAGGGATGAAGATGCTAGAAAGTAATATGGGGGGAAACTTAGAAGGGCTTCTCATTAGAAGTACCTGTGGTCCATCACGTGGACAAGTGTCACTAGAGAAGGGGAGGGAATGGTAAAGCCACGGGCTGCAACAGCAACTGCTGCTAATGCCTCCATTGGTTACTACCCAGTGTAAGTTAAAAAGGAGGAGAAAGGGGATTGAGGGTAGAAACAGATGTCACCAAACTGCCTGGTACAGTGGAGCAGTCAGGAAATCCATAATCCAAGGCCAGAGAATCCATAGGTCTCCTCCATACCCAGGGCACCCCAGGCTTTCCCTGCTTAAAGAGATACATCCCTGGACTCTTCCCAGCCTGTCACCTCAAGTGGGAAACCCACAGCTTTCCCCACTTCTAAAAATCCCATGGGTGTATATCTACGTATGGACTGTCACAACCCAAGGGTGTGGTTTTTGTTTGTGCGCGCTTTGGCACTGCTAAATTATTTCCCGCCACTAGTAGCTTTCTTTGCAGGGTGCATTTCTAGGTTACAAAAGAGAAATGCACGGTGCAAGGAGTTCCTGCCATTCGTATGAAAATTTATATCCCACTATTGGCCAGTTCTAAATTATTCCCACGTGGCGGCTAGTGATTGGCTTGCTAGCCGTATAAGAGGCTTGAGTGGTTTCCGCCCAAGTTGGAGGACTTCACAACCATCAGGAGGAGGAGAACTTCACGTCTCGTGAAGATCTCTAAGCGCTGCGGAGCCTATTGGACCCAGCGTATATCTCAAGAAGACTATAAAGGTCTGATCAACCTCTGGCCTCTCCCCATCGCCAAACCCCTTCCCTGCGCACAAGTTCCACGGAGCCTAGCAAACTTCGTGTGAGTGTATTCAGAGCTCTTTGCTTCGAGTTACTTTCTTCGGTTGACACAACGGGCTCGCGGTTTAGAGCCTTCAACCGGATTGGGCTAGAAGGTTCACAGGAAGGAACTCTAGTCCGCCTCTCTTCTTTTCTGCCTGTC